ACGAAAACATATTCCCTATGGATTCTCCGTTACTGGTGCATTTCCATATTGAGAAAGTAAAAACAACTATATAAACAAAACCAGGCTAGTTAATATCCATTAATAGATCCTTGATATATTCTCATGATACGTCATTAATATATGTCAGTGTATGTCCATAATACTTACCATTAATATAAAATAATATAAACTTATAACATTAGTCACTAATATCCATGGAATACATTGATATATGAGTTTTTCCATAAATGGAACTATCCCTAAAAATTGATGGTTTATTTCATGGAAAATCCTACTTTTTTAATGGATGATTTGGGGGTACCCCTATTTCAGGAACCCCTATTTGGTGAAGTCAGTCTGAGACCCCAATCGGTCAGCCATCCTTGGAAGACGCGAGTTTACCACCGGTGGTCAGTGCAGAACAAGTGCACTTGGAGCAATGTGACGTGCCAAAGTTGACACATTCAGCAGACCTGGGCTAGTAGCCATGTACAAAACAATAATGGATGATAATGATTCATCATCTAGTAATGATCATACTTAATAGTTATAATATGGTATAAATGTTATATATTATAATGTAAGTTATAATATTGTTGATTAACTATCATGAACCATAATCTTCACCATCTAGTTAAGAATGTCATATTAGCCGGCAACGGAACAAAAAAAAGATCTACCTTCATGGTGGGGAAGTAACTTCCGCGATGCGAAAACGGTGATTTGTTTAATGCTGGTTTCATGGGACTTAAAGCCTCCAAACATGGTGGCACATAGATCCACATACCCTGAATATAGATCTGATTACCTTGAATGTAACATATACCCTGTTCATGTTTGAATAATTCGAAACTCTCCGAAACGCTATCCCCCCAAAAAAACAATATGTTGGGACATTCCAGGGGGCAAAAAAACGGAGCATCTGTCTACCCTCTGGTAAACGTTTACATCTCTATGGAAAATCACCATGCTATCAATGGGTAAATCCACGATTTCTATGGTCATTTTCAAGTTCGCAAACTGTTAGTCATTACCAGAGGCCTTTGGAATCTAGCCGGCAGACTACCCACCGAGGATCCAGTCGTCGCATTGCTCCAATTCGTATCTCATCTGTACCATACGGGTGTAGTATGGGTCAAAACTTGACAACTACTATGGGTCGCGTGGTGATGTCTCTGTAATATGTTCAGAGATGTTCAAGACAAAGGAACCATGGATGATGCGGTTTGGGTGTTCTGCATCTGGTTATGACTAACAGTTTGCCATGGAAAATCACAATTTTTAATTGGTCAACCACCTATAAATGTTCTTTTTGTGCCGATTCAACACATGATGAAACACCATCAAGTCAGGGCAGTGAATTTCGACCCATACCGGGACAGGTTTGGGTTTGGTCACCCCAGAGCCCCATCGATGCAAAAAATTGTTCAGCGCGAGACGCCGCCAGGCCATTTGGACTGGGGCTTTCCTCCAGAAATGTTCATCATGTGGTGACAATGGACAATGGTGGACAATGGTGGACAATGGTGGACAGTGGTTCCCGATAGAAACACCACTGGATAGAAGTACCCTCTGGTAAACTAACATAACTATAACTATAGAAAATCACCATTTTCAATGGGAAAATCCTATATATAAATGGTCATTTTCCATAGTTATGTTAGTTTACCAGAGGGTAGAGTGTCTGAAGAATCAGGAGGTTTTCTCTACCAGTGCACTCATTGGACCCCGTAAACTGCGATGCTCCGCAAATTCCGTGGCCAGTGACCAGTTGTTTTTGAGATGAAGAAATCCTTCCAAGCACCTGAAAATCCTTAGATCACTTCTGAAGTTTTTCATTTAGATTTACCCTCTGGTAATTTAACATAGCTATTGAAAATCACCATTTATAGTTGATTTTCC